TGGGGCAAACGGTATCTTCTCCCACCGTCGTGATCTCCGAGATGAACCCGCACGATGACTTGATGAAGTTCTTACACGAGGCGATGATCATCTTTAATGAGAATCCAGGATTCCAGAAGGAGATTTCGTTCTTCGGGGGGATCAGGCTGTCATCAACAATGACGGAGAACTTCTTCAAAACGAGGAGAGGACCCAGCATCCATGTGGAAAAGCAGATAGTCGGCAGCGCCAAGTACTACCAGGGATCCTATGACCTTGGCAACGTATGCTACACCAAATACCTCAAGACCATACTGGAGCCCGATGTATTCCGCACTATATTCGGAGACGATCCCACGGAGGAACGGGTAGGTGACATGGTGGAAGCGCTGCTGGGCATGTTTGAAATTGCTCAACTCCTCAGGCACATGTTCAGGGGATGGGGTGACATCGAAGCTTTGAGAACGGGATTAGAAGAGTCCATCAAACGCGTCACTGCATCGCTGTACGACAGGACAACGTATGAGAACCGAAAGCGATCGACGATCAGAACCTTGGACCCGCACTCTGATGAGGCGGCAAACGTGGCACTGATTCTCGTTCGCATGAGGACCATGCCGCCTCCTGAATTCGACATCGACCACTTCTTCGAAATTGGGAAAGAACCAGAACAGGGAACAGAAGCCACTGACCAGCCCGAGGCCGAAGGTGTCGATATGGAGACTGAATGTGGACAGGAGAAGGAGGAGCAAGACGTTGACATGTCCGACCCGAAGACATCAATACTGCAAGCCATCGACGAATTTGAGAAGAAGATCGGGCAAGCAGAATTCTGCATCCACTGCATGGAGTCGGGGCACACAACCCTCAATTGCAAGAAGACCCTTTCATCTTCGCCTTCAGTCACCTCGGTATTGAGTGATTGGAAGAAGAGAGTGAAGGGAGAGGTTGCGCCCGACGATGTACCATCTGGACATCCAACCGAGGAGCCTAAGAAGAAGAAGCAGAGAGCATCGCCTACACCGGAAAGAAAGGTCGACAGCGAGTTCAGGCGAAAAGAAATGTTAAAAGCAAGAGTCGTGACAATGTTCGATCATGACGGATTCACCTTGATCGAAAGTGCCGATGGAGTCGAAGGAGGGCCACATTCCTGCAATGGGCGGAAGCTTGTGGAAGCAGGCCCTAGGGACATGAAAGTGGTGTACGAGTTTGTAGAGAAGGCATTTGTGCACTCCAGTTCCCTCACACCAAAGGCATGTCATCACTTCTATCCCCTACCAACACGGAGGGAGAAGGGATACAAGCCGATCGACCCCATGACGATGGTCGGGAAAGTTGAACTAGTACCGATCAACGGAGTCACTTTCGCTGCAAAGAACTCCGACTACGGCAACCACAAGTATCCGACTCCAGACTGTCGAGTACCTGAATACAGTCAAGCGAGCCAGGCCCTGAGTCGTCGATTGGGAGCGAAGTTGAGACATCGAATTGGACGCCAGTTCAGGACAGGAGGAAGACTCGCACCAATCAAATGCGATGAAGGCGCATGGGTGTCATGGGAAGACCTGTTAGGTGATAATGCAGTTTGGGAAGACGGTTATCACTATGGCAACATAGATATCGTGACCAAGAAGGCACGTTTGGAGAAGTACTTCGACCAGAACTATGAGTGTTTCCGCATAACCAAGAGGGTCAGATTCCAAATGTTGGCAGTCCGCGTTCACCCTGATGAACTCAATGAGCCTGATGACCCGATGGAGAAGGGGTGGATTAACGAACTCAAGGACATGGGAATCTCCAAAGGAAGACTCCACCATAGCGATGGATGGTGCTTTCCCGTGGCCGTAAGAGCAACCTCGGCACACTCAACGGACGGCGGAGGTTATGACGTTACCATTAACATCGACCACATTGGATCGAGAATGACCAACGACGTGGCCCTATCTATGGTGACTGCATTTCACGCTACCAATCTCGGAGCGCTGACTTCAATCATGCGACGAGGGCTAGTGCCAGGAGGTCTCGGTTCATCGGGAAGGGATTCTATCCACTTCACATGTTTTCCGCCATGGGCCTGGGAGCAGGGATACAAGGGAAAACCTTGGCTGGGTCGTAAGGTCGCATTGAGTGATCGCCCGGTGGTTCTCTACATTCCGGTGTGGAAGCTGCAGGAGTACGGACTTCTCATCTCAGCGACTGGCTCTCTATTGGTTGAGAACGTCGTTCCGTTCGATGAGGTTAAAGGGGCATGGTTGCAATGCGACAATGCGGAACCCGGACAGCCTGAGGAGATCGAATGGATCCGGTTACTCAATGGGGAACCCGACCCTGGAAGCTACCTTGTTCTGGAGTCCAAATACGGAAACCCGATCATGATTCCACGCTTTCAAAAGCTTGAGAGTTTAGCGGTTGAGGTTCAGGACGATACCTACTCCGAGGACGACGCCAAAATCTCAAAGCTGTTGGGTATGATCGAGGAGAGTGGTGTCTACCCAGAATTAATATGATAGCACCGAGTGGCAGGAAATCTTTGAGGAGATCGTGTACCGCCGAGCAATGAAAGACTATGACTCAAGACCGTGTCCTAACTGTCTTGGTGAAGTCGATGTGCGACTGACGATATGTCCGCACTGCGTAGCGGTTTTGATCGCGAATGGGAAGCTCATGCATGTGGTACCCAAGGAGACAAGGGACCGCAATCAACGGTCGCCTCCGAAAGATGTCCCAGCCAGTTCTTCCGGTGAAGCAACTTCTGCTGCAGGTGCAAACATCGATGAAGTCATCAAGAACGCACGCAAGACAGCCGAAGAGGTCATTGAGATCGAGGAATCCGAAGGAGAGGAAGAGGAGGAAGTTCCTATCATTTTGAAGGAACGACCGGACGAAGCTGAAGGCGAACCCGAATATCGGGAGGTCCCTCAAGATGGATACGGGAATGAACTTCCGCAGCCTTTCCCCTTCGCAATTGACGAATTGCCGCAAGAAGCTGCGATCCCCATCGACCACAACTTTGCCGTCACACAGCAATTTGATCTGAGGTTGATGAAGTTGATCAAGAGCTTGGCCAACGCAACGTTCGACATCAACTGCTTTGAGAGTCGTGAAGATGTACTGCGAATGTTCGACGATGGACAGCGGCATGACACTCCGCACAATAGATGGCCGATAGTACCGAATGATCCGGATACTGGGTTTCCAAGACGTCTCCAGAGAGCCGAGGTCGTAGGCATGAGCAGATGGACCGACGACGTGTATGCAGCAGAAGCGTGGCAGATCTATGAATTCCACGCCCACGTTGTTCACCCGATGATGATCACTGCAATCCGCTGCGGGCTTAGCCACAAGTACCTCAAAGAGGTCGGCAGCACTCGGCGTAACATGAGTGATCCAAAGGCTCGAAAGTCTGAGACCCAGGATGAGATCATTGAGAAACTGGCATTCATCTCAAATTTCATCAGACGCTTGATCAGGAAGACCTTCGGAGCCGGTATAGTTACTACCAGAAACCAGATGACGAAAGTGCCGCTCCATACAAATTCATCGACATTAGTCCCGCCATCAAATCGGAGAGGAAGAATGTCACGAAGGAGATCCTCGTTGCATGCCGCTATTATGGCATAGAGGTATCCGCTATTCAAGCACAGAAATTGAGGTCCTTCGAGGAGCAGATCCGAGCGGGAAACCCAAGGAACGTTGAGCTCATCAAGGACTACAGTGGCTTTGTCGGCGCTGACTACATGCGACAACTCACGAATGGTTGAGCATTGGGGTCATACCGACATGCCACTTCCGGTACTTCAAGTGCTGAGGGATCTTGGGTAATTCATGATGACCGTTTTGGCATCATGGGAGTGAGAGAGGATTGTGTTTCACACCGTTGGTAATCGCATGATACCATAGGTAGATGCACGTTTTCCGTTTGTAGCTCCATTACCTGTTTGATCCAACTTTCAAGCGAATGCAAGATCTTTTGCTAATTCGATTCAATAGGACATACTGGTTGACCTCCAATACACTTTTGAGAACACGATTCGTTCTCCGGTTTTTTACATCCACTCATCTCCCTTCCCCGTCGAAGTACGGATGTGGGGGGTGTCAATAGGGATGGGGTCCCAGTATAGTCGCTATACAGGTACATGCCATATACTTTTGGCTCAAGTGCCCAACCAGGTAAAAAAGAGCTTTAGCGCGCGAGCTTCATGTTGAACTAAGGGCTAGAACGGGGCCAGGGCACACCTTTCCATCCGTTCGCAATAGACATTTAGAGGACCGGAAGAGAGTGGTCTTTCAAGAAAAAGTAGAAAACGCTCCAAAGAATGAAAGGAAGGAAAAAAGAGTTTGTGATAGATATTTAGAGAAAGAAAATTGTAAGCATCATCCGACAACAACAGCAACAATTCTAAGCAAAGGAAGCAATGATTTGTTATGATGTGTGTTTACTTTTTGCCGGACTCCAGTCCCAGAGTACCGAGACCGAAACGCAGCCCCGCGTAGCCCCATCCAGGCATGAACGCAGCGTCTGAGAGAAACCACGTGTCACGTAGCTCCATTTCGCTTGCGGTCAGCCCTCTCTAGAAAGGTAACAGTGGGGCAAAAGAAGATGTCCATGATACGTTTGCAGATCCTGCTGTCTTGGCGCGAAGCAATTGGATTCACAACTGATATTTCAGTGGAGTGAGAAACATGCTGCTCTTTAGAACACAGGGCAACTTGGCCTGCATCATAGCGTCTTTCTTTAGCTTTGAAGGTGAGTCGGGCAGAGGAAAAAGGGCGTTTCAGCATGATGCTTTGCAGTCTGTGGGGCACACTTGCCATGTGTTTTTTCTTCAGGCTGTTGTTTCCATCTTTGGTGTTGAATGGTGCTTGATGCATCACTCGAACCATTTTCTTTTCCAATGCCTTGGAGAGACAGCGAACACGTTCTCCCCACACATGTCAGGTGGTTTCTCCCCACACCTTGGTCTAGCACCCCTAGACCCGAAAACACCGATGCACCCCGGTCACGGGGGGCCGACGACGAGGCTCTGGGACTCCATGTGGCCTCTGGGCCAATGGTCCGCTCCTCCTATCGCGCGGGAGAATTCTACAAGAGCATCTACCAGGCCAGGAGCATTTCGGGCATCGCTACGAGTCCGGAGCGATCGGACGCTACGAACGAAACTCCTGGGTTTGGGACGTAATCCGTTGAACGTACTGGGCGCCCGGTGGTTCACCTGAGGAAGGACATAGCAGGAAGAGTTGGAATGTTCAGAGCCGTTTGGTCAGCCGTTGAGATCGGCCGCGTCGTCTTTCTTAACAAGGCCGTTGAGAAGGTTGAGATCGTTAGAACAGAAGGCCTCAAGCCTTGCAGAAGGCTGTTGAGATCGTGAGCGTCCGTGTTAGCCTTCTGCAGTTTCACACAAACGCCGTAACGCTAACACGACTTCAGATCGGCCACCAGTGATGGACACTCCATCCTCCAAGTGGACCGGTCTGGAGCGTCGGTAGGATCGGATGAGCATCGGATCGAGGTGAACTGGATGGTGACCCATGGTGAACTATATCAGGACCTCTCTTAACCTACTAGCGATGGCCTCCAACCTCCATCCAATCCTTGGTTTTGTGCAACGATATAGAGATGAGCATCAGGACCTACACCCCCCCCCTTGCGCAGAAATCGAGAAGGAGGGATCCGTGGGATGTCACGATGTTCCGTCCGTGACGAGCGTCGTAGAAGACCCGAAGCTGGGGGAATTGGTTTCGTCCCAGCTCCCCTCCGAAATCAGCTCACTGCTTCGCTATGAACGGGGCTCCTGGCCTTACTTCTAGGAACAAGGACGCTACGAACGGGCCGAACGGGGCTCCTGGCATCGCTATGACCGGAGCGATCGGACGCTACGGGTTCACTCCTTCTGTCGATCTCGTCCGAGACGAAACGTCTCAGGATCGCATGACGAAAGGACGGGAGCGAGCGTGGCATCGCGTCGGGGGGGACCAGCAGCTTCCGACAGATCTTCCGGCGGTTCGTTTGGTGCGAAAGACTGAAAACCCACAGTGTCCAGATGATGAGATGGTTTGATCGATGATCTATTTGTTCAATGCTGCCACTGTGTAAACCCACGGGGAAAAATTAAAGAAAAACAAAAACAAACAGCTTTTACCGCCGTCATGGTGTGGGAACCACTCCCGCTCCTGGCATCGCTTCAGGAGCCACTGCCGCGCGAGGCCGGGGTGACTTCCTGGGCGAAAAAGAACCACCGAACACAGGCGGCGTTCAACGGTTTACACTCCCTGGAAATCCATGAATTTGCCGTTCGCCACGGTACAAAGTCGAGGAGAAAGGTATACAGGTATACATGTCATAGCATGATTTCTGGGCACCCACGGTGAAATCACAGGGACTCTGTTGAAAAGAGCGGTGCTTTTCGTCGACTTCATCGGTCGTCCAGCACCACTGAACTGGTGCCAGTAGTGGGTGCGTTTGCAGCGAATGGCGCAACCGAGACCTCTGTTTAGTAGGTCGAACATGTACAGATGTACATGAAGAAAATCGATGAAGCACGTGTTTCTTTCTACGAAGCTTCGCGGATAATTCGATGTTCAAGACTGTTGAGCTTGATGTTGATACGTCGGCTGAGTGGGATGAATCAAGTCTGGGACGTTGGACTGAGACGGAGCCTGGCTGCACCACTGCGGAACAAAGACACTCGGTCAAACGGGTTCTTCTGTTGTTCGATGGCAAGGCCGGGCCCTTGGGAATGAAAGGAATCTACCAACCTAGGGCACCTCCCAACCCATGTCGTTCCCCAGAGGTTCGCTGGGAGGTCGACTGCCGAAGACACACCCAGTCGAGGTCTCCCCTGGGGATCGAAGAGCTTTGTCGTGCTCTTCGATGGTTTCAACGATTGCCATTCATCCGAAACACATCGGTGGGTACCCCCTAGGGCTTTGGCCATTGGTGCTTTCATCGAAACACAAAGAATCGTGGTGTGTTTCTACAAGGACACAACCAAACAAGTTGAAGATGATCTAGGAGCGATCGGACGCTACGTTCGGAGCATTTCGGGCATCGCTACGAACGGAGCGATCGGACGCGAACCGAACGGGACGATACTGTCTTCCTTGCACTGTGGGGGACCGTGATCTGCACAGGCCTCGAGACGTCAAGTCAGCGGAGCCACGTCAGTTGAGGCAGATCCGCAGCACCAGGTATGTCCGTCCCAAAGAGATGGTGTCCTGGAGAGATTCCGGTCAAACTGGCATGATTGTTTACGGCCATGGAAGGCAGACTTGAGATAGTTTGATAGGTTGTTATTTTTTCAGTTTTTAGCCCGTGGCCCCTGCCTGTTTACTTGATTAAGTAGGTGCCTACTTAAGTAAGGGCGACTAGTTTGCTCCCAGTAAGGACGCAGGATAGTTCACGCTTCTAATGATTTGGTTCCTAGATTCTTTGGCAAACCCTGCAGTTGTTGATACAAGGGGTAGAGCTTGATACACCATGTGCTGTGTTGCAAATCGGGACACCATCTCTGTGAGATGTGCTCAATAATCTTCATGGCCCAAAGCCTTGTGGAGTTCTCCACGCAGAGGAGATTTATGAGCAGGGCTTGTCAATTGCTAGAGAATTGGATGCCTAGAAGGCGGATAGAAACAAGTGGACGGCCCGATGTCATGACATGGCAAACATGCGTGCTGATTGTGCCAGAGGTGAAAAGGAGGCCACCCTAGGAGCGATGGCCTCCAACCGACTGACGATGGCTTCCAATCTAATAGCGATGGCCTCCAACCTACTATAGCGATGGCCTCCACACCAAGCCCGAGATGTTGACCCAAGAAGAGTGACTTCACGGGCCAAGAGGGCAGAGGTACCTGTGTGCCTGGTAGTACCAAGTGCTGGACAGAGAGTGCCAACCCAACAGAGCAAACATGTGCAAACTCAAGTCTCATGGATTTTGCCTTTTGGACAGCCTCCACTCAGATCTTTTGGGGTGTGCACTGCACTTGGCCGAATATTCTTGGCCTCTGAAAACAGAGTGGCCAACATCGCTAGCTCTTAGCTCGGTTTTCCGGGAAACGTGTGTCCTCCGGCCTGTGACCGGTGTGAGGTTCAACAGCACTGACCACCATGGACTTGACAGAGAAAACGACCAGAATCAGAAGTCGTGACGCAGCACTGACCACTGGTATAGACATGTTTTTCCATAGGGAAGGATAGCAGAATCTTGGTTCACCTTTGTAGTCGTTCTTTTTTCATGGTGTGTTTTTGCGCGCTACTACCAGATCTAGGCTTGATATTGCTCAGCTCAGTTCTGGCCGGAGGGCGAAGTAGTTGGGTTCCAATCTCCAAAGCTCAGCGCGAACAGAACTCAACAACAGTGCAAGGCTGCCAGACGAAGCGTGTTTTTTGCTTGGAACAGTGAAGACCTTCCTATCTCGCAAGAAAGAGATCTTCATCTTTCTAGCTGTCCTTTTGTTTGGAGGTGAAAACACAGGTGGAGCATTCGTTCAAGCGAAAGGATGAGAATTGGCGGGACGCCTCAGGGACCGTCGCGTCGAGCCTCGTTGCGTCTCTTTCGTCTTCGTCTCGTTGCGCTTCGACCGGCTCGGGTCATCGGCCAGGGTTGAGCTGGTACCTTCTTCCGTCTTTGGGGGGTTACCCACCTTTGATCCCATTCTCTTCGAAACCGCATCGGTTCGGATCGCATCAGTAAAGCTCGAGGCCCATTTGCCCATGGTGTAAGTCACTGGCACGGCCTCATGTGCTGATGTCCCAGTCCCAGAGATGAGGAACTGGGAGGATTTCGTGGTGAAAGCTGACTCCGAGAATGAGTTGGGAGAAGTGTCATTTTGTTAGAAGTCCTTTGATCTGAATTCAGATGTGAAAGTTTAAATAGGGCTCCATTGTTTCATCAGATCCCAAGAAAAGTAGAGCATGGAAAGCGGGAGAAACGGAGAGCATGGCCTGCAGGACGTGTTTCTTTGTTGAAGTCTTCAGGTTTTATAGACCAGAATCGGAAGCACTCCAAGATGTGTCAAAGACCTGGTGATGGACCTGTTAAACCATGGTTAGACATAGCAGTGTTAAATGTCGCAGAAAGCATCCTTTTTTGGCGCCGCATCGAGTGTTGCAGCCGCTTTCATGAGATCCATCCCAAATGGGTTCGGATGTTTGGAACTCCGAAAAACAGCGTCCGATCGCCCCGTTCCCTAGCGAGGCCAGGAGCCCCCCTTCGTAGCGTCCTTGTTCCGTTCGTGTCGCGATGCCCGTCTTTGCTCCGTTCGGTTCGCGTCCTCTACCCCGAAAAAAAGCCACGAGGTTCAACGACACGCACATGGTCAGTGACATGGAGCAGGTGCGAGACTTTGGGACGCTGGCGATGGAGCCTCATTCGTCCAGCGACGCACGATGTTCCACCACGACCCACGTAGCTCCGCCGACTCCGCGCGCGTTGAGCCCCCGCGGGGCGGCAGGAGCTCCGCTTCCAGCGCTGGAAGGACGTCGTCTTGGACGTCGCGAGGACCGGATGCATCGATCGATGCCGAATCGATGTCCTGGAAGTTCCCTGGAAGAGTTCGAAGGTGTTCAGTAGAGTCTTTTGGTGGAAGATCCTGAAGAAGCTACAGGTTTGCCGGGCCTGGGCAATGCAATGAGGCACTTATCTTGGCCATCATTGAGCATCATTGGTAAGCCGAAGCCCACGGCGGATGCTTTTTTCCACCTGAAGGAAAACATCCTACACTACCCTGGGGATGCTACCAGAGAAACGGAAACGAACCTCCAGGAGCCCGTAGTAGCTTCTTGTTCCTACTAGCGATGCCCTTTGGAAAACAGGTAGCGAAACGGAAACCGAAAAAAGGGAGGCCAAACTCGACGCTGCCAGGACCTCGCGCGTGTCCCGCGGCAAGATGATGAGACTCGTGATCCTGGAGATTGGCTGTGGAGGATCGCTGGACGCACCGGATGACGCGATGCGAGCAGGGTGGTGCCACCAAGGGATCAAGAGTGAATTCAATTGAAACAGAAAGACTTTGGAATTTGCACATGTTCTTTGCCCCCATGTCCAAAGTTAAATGGTGTGGTGCTGTGTCAAACATCCACCCCAGCCCTGTCGTGAGCTGCTTTCACCCAAGCTCAGAGTGTGTCGCGCGAGGCCGCGTGCCAACGGTGCGCGCGACCTGTGAAACGACCGCGTCACAGCTGAAGAAGTATGCAGATGTCACTGGCAGAAGCCTGAGAGTATCCAGATCCCATAGACCGCACAATGCTGGAGAGCATCCATGAAGTACGTAGCTAATACTTGATTAATAACCCCCCTAATAGGCGTCTGGCTCCAAGGCCTAGGCCTCAGGGAGTTCACGGGCCCCAGGACTGGGTGGCCGCGCATAGCGGAGTCCAGTGTCTAACAAGGGCACGACTCCTCGCGCCCACCCGGTTCTACTGACCGTTGGTTCATCCCGCGTCCTTTGGTAGTTAGTTCCATGGCTGCTTTCGCTTGGGGTCCGTCTCTGCGAGACCCGGATCTTGATCGCAAGCTGCAAGGTGTCTTCGACAAGTTTGGAGAAGATACTTATGCGTGGGACATTGGATCTCGCAAGGTGGTAGCAGTTGAGATCATTTCCATCTCCCGAGACTGGATTGATGGCTTCCTCTGCCGTTTTCTGCCACGCGTTGGCCTTGACTGGCTTCAAGAAGATCGCAAAACTGCCAAGATTCGCATTTCAGGATTGGACCACAGGTATCCCCTACTTTGTGGAGGCGAGCGCATCCTTTGTGCTGGTATTGTGAAGACTGCGGATGTGGGAATGACAACGCTTGAATTTCATCCTGGTGTTTCTGTGGTTCATGTTCCAACCATGGCACCTGAACTACATTGGGCGATTTGTCACATGTTTGCTGGAGGATACGGAGGCTGGGCACAAGCTGCAGAGTGGCTGCAAGACTCCAATGCCGGGTTTGTCATTGACCGTCAAGTTTTCATTGATTGGGAGCCACATGTGACTCGCACGTGTAGCCTCAATCATGGAACCAATATTGACAAAGCCCCATTGGTACCGAGTGCAGACTTTGCTATCAAGCGAAAGATCATCGTCGAGGCTGCCATAGCTGACATGACTGCGCTTCATGCCATTCGTATGCCCTTCAACATGCTGGCCACGATTTCGCCCCCGTGCATATCCTGGTCACTTGGCGGCAAGGGTGGAGGTTTTGACTCCATCCACGGCATGGCTCTTGTAGATGCAATTGAGCTTCTCTTTGCAAGTCAGCCCAATGCGGCCATGTTTGAGTGCGCTGATGCGATCAAGTCACATCACCACTTTCCCGTGTTTGGAGCTCTCATGAACCATCTAGGGTACAAGCAAGTATGGGAACAGATCATTCCTTACCATCTCCTTGCCAATCACCACAGGAACCGATGGTTTTCGGTCTGGGTCCGACATGATGTCCAAGCCACTGCCGTTGACAATTTGTTCAGGTTGATGGTGCCACCCATCATTCCATGGAATGACTCCCGCTATCACTTCTCTTTGCCCCAACAAGTCATGCAGCAGCTTCGTTTATCACCAGAGCACATGCGAACGTATGGTGATCTTCAGTTGTTGCCGCCAGCCAAAAGGTCCAGGGTTCAGTCCGCCGAATCAACTCTGCAGGTTGTTCGTGCCCGAATTCCCTCCCCAAGTGATCCACTTGCCACCCTCTGTTCGTCCTACACACAACAGCACTGCCTTGATCGCAATCACTTGGAAAGGCGAGGGATTTTTGCAAGCATCACGGAAGACAACAATCAGTTCGTGTTTCTTGACCCAGTCCGTTTCATTGCACTGTTCGGCACTGTCACCAATCTTGCTTTCCCTCTTGATGTTGCAAAAGCCTTCCAGCAAATCGGGAATGCCGTGAGTGTCCCTCAGGCTCTCTTGTGTTTCCTGGTCACGCTTGCATCGACCACTAGCCTGCAGATTCCGATTCAGGAGACCCTTCGCAAGTGCTGGCTAAGCAGGATTCATGCAGATACAACTGTTCTTGAGGTCACTGCCGACCATGTGTGGATTCGCAATATTGTGCAATTTGTGCATTCGTTGCCTAAGCCAATCTTTCACGTGCTCGCACCGAATGCCCAGGTCATCTTCCTTGATGAGAAGTTCCCGATCGAGATCGGTGCACATATGAGCTTTCGCGAGCTTGCTGCCATGCTCTTTCGTTTGCAGTTCCACCAAATGATGCAGATTCGTGTTGAGCATGTTTCGTTGCACCC